GTCTGTATGACTGACCTAGAATCCAGTTTGGGAAGTTGAAGGGAAAAATGCCACATTGGAGAAGAGGAAGATGTTTAATAGAATTACTTAAAACTTTTTTAAAAATTCTGCTTAAGCACTAACTATGAAGGCTAAAAGTACTGAGGAAAATAAACCTCCCTCTTAGCTTATTTCTGGTAAATAATTGGTTCTTTTATAGTCAAATTTTATATTTTTTTTAAGTTAAAAGAGGCCTCACTTGTTATCATTAGATTTAAGTCAAACATAACTGAGTAGTGTGTTCATTGATACAGTTTTGCAAACTTGGATACAGAGTGAATTTCAGTAAATTCTAATGATTTCCACTATAAAGTCATAGATACCTGGCTTTAGGGAAGTGAAATCTAAAACATAAAAATAAATGACATGTAAAACACAAAAAACTTCAAAAAATTGTATCAAGGGAGAAAGTTCTTAAAAGCTTATGCTAATATTAAGTGTTATAAAATATGAAGCATAAATAATTTCTGAAATTGAAAGTGTACCAGAAATGGCATTCCTTTATAGACGTGTCTGTTTTTCCCCCTCTGATTTGTATAGTAATTTTGTCACACTAAAATGTTGCCTCAGCCTATCTTTATCCCTAAGTAAATAAAATATAAAATCTTCTTGATCTTTTATTTCGGACTGTGGGATACTTTGAAATTATTTGTTCAGTACCCCTGGTTAAAGTTACTCTCTTCAATATGATAAATACTGCTTTAGTGATTCGAGATGACCTCTGAGAGAAAATTTTCATAGTGCTATGAAGGTAGACTGTCACATTTTAACTTTTTTTTGGAGTCAGAGTAGTTACGGTGAATACTCATTGGGATGACAATACTTTGCTAATTGTTTGAGCTCACTATTATGGAAGTACTTTTTAGCTTTTAGGTGCCTCAGGAAACAGCTGATTGAACAGATGTAATTCTGCGGGGATGGAGGAATTGTCTTTTATTGTATTTCTCCATGCTTTATTCAGATTTCCAGAAGGGAAAAAGACCCACGGATACGTGGATTGGTTTACTTTCTAAGTAAATGTTGAAGAAAATAAAACTTCAAGTATTATAAGTGAAAGGCCAAGATACAAAAACTGTGTATACTGTGTAATCATTTGAATAAAGAGAAGGGAAGGTCTGTCTATTTGTGTTTTAGTTTCTATTCATTAAAAAAATTCTCTAGAAGAGATCAAAAGAAGCTGTTACCAATTAGAGGACAAGGTTGAAACTTGGGCAGATAAAGGACAAGGTTAAGAGGATTGTCAATATATTTATTTTTCATTTAAATATGTTTTGGGGGCTTGTTATTTTGGCGTGTGTGTGTGTGTGTGTGTGTGTGTGTGTGTATGTGTATGAGTGAGTGTGAGAGAGAGGATCTTGCTATGTTCAGCCTGGGTGAACTTACCGTGTAGCCCAGGCTGGCCTCAAACTCATGGTGATCCTCCTGCCTCAGCCTCCTGAGTGCTGGAATTACAGGCATGTGCCACTAAAAACAGCAATTTCTCACACCTTCATCTAAGTATAATGAACTTAAAAACTACACCTGTTTGTATTATATACATGTTTGAGGCTGTTAACTATGTGAATATATTATCTATTATAATGGCAATAAATTAAAGCTTTAAAAGTTGGCAGAGTAAATAGTAGCAAAGTTGATCTGTTGTGGATTTTTTCACAACTGAGACTCGATCTCAGGGCCTCATGCATGCTAGGCAAGTACTCTACCACTAAGCTACATCCTTACCCTTTTTTTTGAGACAGGATCTTGCTAATCTGTCTCAAATTTGTGATCTCTGCCTGCAGGCTACTGAATAACTGGCATTACAACTATGCACGAGTGCTTCTGGCTCTGCTCTGGATTTTTTTGTCTTTTTGAGGCAGGGTCTTGCTATGCAGTTCAGACTGGCCTTAAGCTCACTTTGTAGCCCATGCTGGTCTCGAACTCACAACGGTCCTCCTGCCTCAGCTTCCTGAGTGTAAGGATTACAGGCATGCACCACCACACCTCGTGTGCCCTGGATTTTGTAATGTGCATTTGGGTTCTTGTAATTCAGTCTAAGAATTTTTATTCCTTTTGACTAATTCTTATAGAAATTTTGGGTAAGATTACCTTGGTGGTTTTGCAAACAAAATAAATATTCTGGTCATCTTTTAAATCCTAACTGATGGAAAAGATTTTAAAAGCAAAGTCGTCACAGACATATCCCTGATTGGAGGTTATTGACATTCTTCAAAATGAACAGTGAATGAAGACACATTTTTAAAGTTAAAGTTGTAGCCGAGAATAGGGATTGAGCCAAAATTCTCTAGCTGTGAATGAATGAGGTTGAGGCCATTGTTACCTCATGCTCCACAGCCCCTTGCCAGGCTCTGCCTCTCTCGTGTTCATTTTAGGACTAGGGAGAGTCAGACTTTGGGCATAAAAGTGTGCAGGAGGGCTCCAGCTGGCCCCACACAGCGCAGAGAGCATGTAACTTCATCCACACTTGACCTTCCCTGCTTCGGTTCAATTACATCCTCCTATTAGAGTCGCTTCGACCAGACCCTTTCTTGGTCATGGAAAGGGTCTTTTTCTGTCCGTAGCTGCTAGCTCTAGCTCTCTGTCTGGTAAGGATATCATTTTCTGCTCTGTAGATCTGTTTGCTGACGGGAAGTGAGGATGAGAGTTTACAAATTCAACTTTTTTTTTAATTCAACTTTTGCATGTTTGCTGTCTTCCCATTCCTTTTGTCCCTTGATCTGCTAACCCAGATCACTGCTTTGTCCCATCCCGATTGTATCACTGAGAGGAGCCAATGAGACTCAGAGTCCCAGCGTCATTGTTGGAATCAACTCACTCTTGTTCTCTGGTTTCCTCTTTCTGTGCCCCTTGGGCACCTTGTGGACAAGTCGTGTTATTCTTTCCCAGTCAGCTCCATTATGGGAATAGGGACTTAGGGAGAACTGGGTAACCCAGTCGTAGAAGCCCTGGTTTGGGAGTCAAACAGCCTGAGCCCAGGACCTTACATTCAGGGCTATAGCCTGGGTCAGTGCTCTACTTCCTCTGTTGAAGAGATGACTTTAGTATCTTAGTGACATAAAGCTGTACTAAATATAATGAAGCTTGGGGCTGGGGATTTAGCTCAGCGGCAAAAGCGCCTGCCTGGCAAGCGCAAGGTCGTGAGTTCGGTTCCTGGTACCAGAGAAAAACCAAAAACCAAAAAATAAATAAATAAATAAATAAATATAATGAAGCTTGCTTCTCAGAAGACAAGAAATGGACATGGACTGTATTAAGTGCAGCTGTTTTGTAAAATAGGTAGATGAGATTTCTCAGGTACCTTCTAACTTGGTGTGTCAGGTTCTGTGAGGAAAGTTGCAATGGGACATAGGAGGGCCGAATTACTTGTGCTTTTGTCTGCCCATGATGCCTTTTAGATTCTAGATGTAAGCCAGCTTTGTTCACCAGGGCGTCTTTACAACATTTCCCTCCTTTCTCTGTGTGATGTGTGGTTGTTTCCTTAGTTATGAATTTCAGATAAATGTCATAATTTTGTCCTCAGAACAAAGGTGTATGAGGGAACAGGGTCACGCATATCTGCATCACATAGATGAAGAAACTGGCTTACAGGGATTATGTGCTTTACTCAAAGTTATATACTCCATGAATGGCAGCACAACTTCTTTTATATCCTGATCCTTCTCTGTGTTTCAGTCTTGAATTTGTAAGTATAAAATTAGGGAGAATGGGAAAGATGTTTGAAGATTTTGCCATCCCGATCTGAAATCAGTTAATGAAATATTGATTTGAAATCTTAAATTGTTTTGGGGACAAGGAAGATTTTTCTTATTGTCATTATAATTAGAGAATCTTATATGCAAAGCACAGTGAGCATAAGAAATATAAAGTCTTTGCCATCAGAAGGTTTACTGTTTGAAAGTTGAATGCTGACCATAGACATCAAGTTTTATGTAGTACAGCACAGGATTTTGTATAAGAAGGCTGTACCAGGGGAGATAGGAATCTGAGAATATTGAAGGTCAGGGTCATGTCCAAATTATGGGCACCAAACTCCAGTTAGTGTTAATGCGGAAAAAGTTGACTATAGAAGTTTGATAGGAACAAGGAGACGCTGGATCCAGTTTTAAGGGCTTTGTATATGGGGGTGGCTGATTTAAAGTCCTAGGCTAATGGGTAAAATTTTCTAAGGCTGGGAGTCAGTGGTCCTTCTGAGAATAGGGTGCAAGAAAGTAAAGGGTAAGACTGTGACAGATTGAGGAATTCAGAGTGCGCAGAATGGGCATGGGAAGGAAACAGGCCAAAATCAGAGCCCCGACATGCCTCTTGTGGAGCTAGGTACATCACATGCCCCAACAGTTCCGTAGGTGCTGTGACAAGCATATCAGCCATTTTTGTCCATCCTTTTCTTCAAAAGGCAGCTGAAATTTATACAACCTGTTTTCCTGCCTATTCTCTAGAGGCTATTGTTTGCACGCTGGTGTTTGTGTCTACATGTATGCACTCAGTAATGCAGTAACACGGTAATTCTCAGGCAACTATGGGGTTTTTGGTTTGGGCTTTATTATTTTTTTTCTTGGTCCTGATAATGTGAGATTGTTGAAATCACCCTTTGCTGTTGTTCTCTGTACTGTTTTCAAGAATTTAAAGTGGAAAAGCATTTGGAGTAATTCTTCAAGCTGCTTGGTATAGCCCTTCTAATTTCATACGAGTTGTGTAGTTCTGGCCCCAGGTGATTATCATTCATGAATATGTTTTATTTTCTTGAAGTTTTTGTCATTTGAGGTACGACTGAATTATCGCTGGTGTATTTTTTTCTGAAGCCATACCTACTTGTCCCTTTTGTTTGTCCAAATGAAACAGTGCTTCAAGTGTGGAATCAGATTAATGGAGTAAATATTATGAATCATACACTCTCTAATCCGATGCTCTTTCTTCTTTTTCTGACCCTGTGTTTTGTTTTCTGTCTTTCTCTCTTCGTGTAGGCTGTCAGTCCAGTGTAAAGCTGTTGGAGCGAGGGAGCAAAGGTAAAGAATGATGTAATGCACTGGCTACCCCAAAGCATCTTTTGTTGTGGGATGGTTATTCCAGTCATCTCTCTATGAATCGAATGTGAGGGGCTGCTTTGTGGAAGGAGTCCTTTGCAAGAGCACGTCAACGAGGAAGAGAAAGAGACATTCAGTTGGAGGGCTCTTGCTGAAAATGGGTTTAACTCTCCTTTTGCCAGTCACCACCAGCCTGACCTCATACATTTTTAGTACAATGGAGTGGCTGAGCCTTTGAGCACACCACCATTACATCATCGTGGCAAATTAAAAGAGGAGGTGGAAAAAGAGGACTTATTGTTGTCATGGCCCATGAGATGATTGGAACTCAAATTGTTACTGAGCGGTTGGTAGCTCTGCTGGAAAGTGGAACAGAAAAAGTGCTGCTAATTGATAGCCGGCCATTTGTGGAATACAATACATCCCACATTTTAGAAGCCATTAATATCAACTGCTCCAAGCTTATGAAGCGGAGGTTGCAGCAGGACAAAGTGTTAATTACAGAACTTATCCAGCATTCAGCAAAACATAAGGTAAATGCTTTCCTTTCTTTTTTTGCATTTTTAAGGTAAATGGAGAAATATTTTTAAGTGGAGAAAGTAATTTGAGAAGTTTTGGTTGCTTTTTAGATTTTGGTACCTTGTAGTACCTCAAAATAATTTACTGATTGTACATTATAGACTATTGTGAATTACACTGAAAGGTTAATAACGTGTTTTATTTTGGGCACAAGCTGTTTCCCTATTAATGGCTTGCTAAAATTGCTTTCTCAATTTAAACATTATTCTGTATTTTCTACAAATCCACTTTGGAAAGTAAGTAGGAACTAATTATTAGATATGCTTTTCATATCTGGTCACAGTTACATGTGATAATATGGTCATGACATAAGGATATTACCTTCAAGGAAATTACTCCTAGGATACTGAAATCTTCTTTGTTAGGGAAGGCTGTATCTTTTCTCCATGAATAAAAACAAGCTCATCATTTAACTTTAATAAACAGTGCATTTATTGTTACTAGGAGCCATTTTTAAAATGTTTCTTTAGGTTAAGTTTTGTTTATTTTACATAGTATGTATTTTGTTTATGAACTTCACCCTTTTATAAGGGTCAAGTATTTAAAACCAGTGAGTTCTGAGCATATCTACATAGACATAGCATCAGTTTAGCCTTTCAAAAGTTGATTTATACAACTGTATATGCTAACTTTGTCCAATAAATTAATCATATCTCATTTTTATTCAAATAATTGAAAATAAGCAGTAGTTACTTGCATCAGCACCAATAAATATGAGAGCCTGTTCAACCGGTTGTTTTTAAGATTATTTTTCTTGCCTGCCTTCCTGCAACAAGCCTCCCATTTGCATTTCAGATTGATATTGATTGCAGTCAGAAGGTGGTAGTTTATGATCAGAGCTCCCAAGATGTTGCCTCTCTGTCATCAGACTGCTTTCTCACTGTACTGCTGGGCAAACTGGAGAAGAGCTTCAGCTCTGTCCACCTGCTTGCAGGTAAGGCTGTGTGCAGTGCAGAGTACTTGGAGGCTCATGGAGTCCTGTAACCAGGGTTGCCCAGTGAGTGCAAAGTACCGTAGGTCATTGCAGCTGTGATGCTTACAATGAGTTAAAACTTTTGACGGATGTAACGGTTCTGTTTAACTTGAATAGTATTATTCTTCCTCATTGGTCAGCGTATTTTTGATTTAACTGAGGTGACTCTTCCTTGGTGTTTATTAGCTAGCAAAGTCATCACAGATTGTTGTGCCTGTGTGTGGATAGCTCGGAGCCAGTTTTTCTGACTGAGGATTTTTCTGTTCACCTGTGTTGTAAGAACACCAAATGATCTCAGCTCCTGCCATTACTTCCCACCTCTGTGGCAAGAGTCCAGCCAGTATTACAGTGTCAGGCTCTTATTAAACATTTAAAGTGGATTCCAGGTCACCTTTCTGGATATTAGTGGACAATGAAATAGGTTAGAAGTATGCAGAATGTTTCTTCTAATTATATGGGGACTGTTGTAAAACCTGTTTATTTTTGTTTTTACACTAGAAAATGAAATCTCAACTTACAAATGGTAAATGACCAGTTGATTTTAGAAAGGACACAGAAAGGACCAAATATTTTATATCTGCCTGAGGGTGTTCCAGCTCACTGAATTCCAAAGCAGACTGTCCATCCTTCCCTTCCTGTTTTGGGGACATTACTGCAGTCTTTTCACTTGCACTGGCTCAGAGGGGTGAAAACAGTTTACCAGTGCATGGCATCTTAACATGAAGCTGCTGTCAGGAAGATGTATCCATAGGGATAGGCAAGAATGTTTTTAAAAATGTGATCTAAGAAAATAAAAATACTGATAAGTAGTATCACTTTTATACCTTCAGCGTTTTGTTAGAAGGAGGCTACAGTGAACTTGATGTTACTGGCATTTGGTTGTTAGAACCGTGAACATTTCTGTTTTAAGAGAAAAAGATTAAGCAGTTGTTGGTATGTTACCACTTTTAAAACTCTGTGCAGGTTTAGGTAAGATTTCCGCGTCTCCAGTTCAGATCATCTGTAGCCACTTCTTTCATGTATGCTGTGATTCTCTATAATCTCTCTCTAAGTGTTCTTAAGTGAGGCCTGCTTGTTTGACAGTGCAGGTTTTAGGATTCTGTGACTGAGACTTGTAATATTCATCATGTCTGTTGATAGGCACTTTTTTTTTTTTTTTTTTTTAAGTGGTGGTGCTGGGTACTAAACCCAGAGCCTTGCATATGCTAAGCAGGCGCTCTGCCACCTAGCTACACCTCCAGCTTGGTAGGCACGTTCTTTTAATGGGAATATAGTGTGCTAAATATAGCAGTTTTAGAGTGCCACTATGCTAATTTCCTGAGTTTAGGCCCTCATCCCCTGCTTTTGTAGCCATTGTGAGGGACTTTGCTTTGGAATTCTATTCATGGGATCAGGGGGTTTTTAGAGGTTATGCACCAAGATGTGCTTCATGACAAAGTGGCTTGCTTGTGCCCCCTGCTCTTGTTGAGATACCTTTTCTCTGTGGAGGGCTCTGACATGAGAAACTGGCCAAGCAGACACCCTGCAGAGGAGCGAGCCTGCTGAATTCCCAGCACAGGTGTCTTGACTATTTCAGTGCCCTTTCACTCCCTTTGCCAGAGAGCACTCCTTTGTTCTTATCAATCATCTGTAGCTTTGGAAGAGGCACTCATTGACCAATAAGGAAAAACAAGGATCCAGTCTGGTCAGCTTGATCAATCCTAGGGACACAGTGGCTCAAAAGATGCGACCTCCTCATTTCATACAAGAAGTGTTTTCCAGCCTGCAGTGGAAGCTCACTGAGGTAGCACCATGAACCACGACGACTGTATTGATGGCCCTACATCTGCATCTACCCCTCCAGAATCCCGTATTTTCTATGGCCTTAGAAGGCCTGCACCGCCTCATTTGGGAGTTTCTGAGCAGCCAGATCTCTTCTAACATCCAAGACAAGGTTCTGGGATATTAAAAGTGTCCCCGGCCATCCAAAAACCTCAAAACAATTGGGACTTCTCTTGGTGGATCTGTTCTTTGGGGTAGATAGAAAATTGGTATAAGTAGAGGAGGTAATGCCATCAATTTTTGGGAAGCAGTTTTTTTGGCCAAGATCTAGTTGCTCACTGGGTGTACAAGGAATGTGAGACAGAGGATGTATCAATAAAAGTTTCTTAAATATTTTGCTTGGGAAGAAATAACTGGCCATGGGAAACTGTACTGGTTTCCAACAGCGGCTACTGTAAATCACCAGGTCACTATGATATAAACAAAGTGCTTTCTTGGAATAATTTTTCCATCAGTTTAGAACTTTCCACCACCTTGAGAAAGGAAAGCATCAGTTGTGTGAGCTGGTATTTATGCTTACTAGGTAGGGAAGTGAAGAGTTGTGGCCCTAGTTCTAACACTGCCAGGATTTCCTTATCCAGTGATGAGTTTGAAAAGGGGGACTAAGAAGATTTCCTACAAAATTGATAAGGAAAGAGTATTGTAGAGCATCTTTCTTTGACACAGGGTCTATGTAGTATGTTGTCCACGCTGGCTGGTCATCTCACTGTCCTCCTGCCTCAGTCTCTGAGTACAGGGATTATAGGCATGCGCTACCATGCCCAGCTGATAATAGCATCTTAATGGGCTTTTCTCTCAAACAGGGGGACCCAAACTTAAGTGGAGAACCTACAGAACGGAGGGTCACTGCAGGAACGGGGTGGGGGAGACATAGGGAAGCTGAGCTGGAGTGTGGGGTTTAACCCTTCAGTGGGGCGCAGATCTGACTTATCTTTGTGTTCCCACACCTAGAACTTCCTGAGTTTTCAGTAAATATTTGATATTTACATTAATTACAGATTTTATACCATTTGTATTTCATATGATATATTTTATTAGTTTAGAATATAAGTGATTAAACACAGATAAAATCTGAAAGTAGAGAAAACTTGACTGCTTTGAGATAAGTTATTTGCAAAGCGCATTTATTCAGATAGAGCAATATGTAACTGCGATGGGAAAAGTAACGTGAAAATGTTTTCATTTAAGTAGATTTAAACACTAAAATCTGATAAAATGCTGCAGTGAAGTAATACTCATTTTTTGAGATTCTTAAATAATGAAATTTGATAAATAGCTAACCCTAAAAATCTAGCTTCATGCATAGGAAGATACAAATTCTTGAAACTATGTAAATGGAGAAAAATTGAAACAATATTTATATTAAAAAGTGTAAGTGTAACGCTGGGCATGGTGGCACATACCTGTAATCCCAGAACTCAGGAGCTGAGGCAGGAGGATCCTTCCAAGTTTGAGGCCAGTCTAGGCTACATAGTGAGTTCAAACCAGCCTGAGCTACGTAGTGAGGCCCTGACTCATAGTGTAAGGCTTTGCTTTAAATGTATTAGTCAAATCATAGCATTGTTTCAGCTCCCCTACCCTATCCCTGCATGGATTGAAGGGTTTAATTATTCTTCATTTTAGCAAAAAAGAGTGAGATTTCCCATCATCCTTGTTGGGTAGGTGTAAGGTGCCTGCTCCAGAGAAAGGGGGGTGTCCACAAAGTTTTACTGTATAGTACTCATACTCACCCCTAGCTTGGGATGAGGTGCAGGATGACTGTACAGTAAATGAAACCCTTAGGTGAATAATAGACTTCAGCTCTTTCATTTCCAAATGAAGGTGAAGGAGCTGTGAGTGACTCCCCAGAGCCGGCAGTGCTCTCTCCTGCTGCCCAAGCCCCACGTCCACAGTGAGTCCAGACCTTCTGGAGTTTGCTCAGGGCTGCCCAGGTCAGATCAGGCTTATTAAAAAGGCCCTTTGTGTGGTAGCTCTTGTTCGGCCTCTTCGTCATGTTCTTACTTTATACTTCATGGAGTGAAACAATTGATAAAGAATATACTATATATAAACAATTTTAAAACATTAATTTAATCAGAGGGGATCATCAAATGAGCCTAACTCCTGTGTTCTAAAGTATAACTTTGAATAACTGTAGAAAATACCACTTATTAAGTACTGTGACAGATGTAGTCTTAGGTACAGGATTAAGGGCTTTTATAAACACTTAGTCTCTGAACATACCTAAGGTCTTAGATTTTTTTGCTATCATTAAAGGTCAAACACATTTTTATTTATTATTTTTTTGAGACAGGGTCTCACTAGGTTGTCCAGGATATCTGTGAATTCTCAATCCTACTGCCTCAGTTTCCCAAGTAGCTGGGATGTAAGCATGCTCCACTACACCCAATAACAAATACTTTTGAGTGTGTACTAGATTTGCTAGTGCAGTTAGACCTATGAGTGAATAGAAATATATTTAACTCTGCACGTTTTCAGTTTAACAGGGATCTAGGTTTATCTAACAGTTCTATGTAATATATGTGAAGTTTGGTTTAGTAGAATTAATTACTGTCCCTCCTGGAAGTATAATAGAACTTGATCTTCCTGATTACAGATTTTTCTTCTTGTTATTGGTATCATTAATTCCATTACCTCATTTCTTCTCTTTTATCTGGAGAAAGGACATCTCAAACGTTCTACTTTGAATCCTATAGCATTTGATAAATGAGATAAAAATGAATGCATTTTAGTAAAATACTCCAGTTACTCCAAATTCACTGCTCTAAATGTACAGCAACTATGAGTCACTGAAAGCAGTCTAAAAATAGGCACTGTATATACACATGCAGAGACTATCTATGTAGCCTTTAAAAAAAGTAAAGGCCTTGGGTATGGCTTAGTGGTAGCTCATGTGCCGAGCATGTGCAAGGCATTGGATATGATCCCCAGCACCTACTGCCCCCAAATCCTGCCGTTTTTGGTAACAGAGTTGATCCTGGAAACGTTACTCTGAGTAAGCCAAGTACAGAAAGGTAACTACTGCAATGTATCACCTACAAGTGAAATCTACAAATGTTTCTATGATTTGTGAAATCTACAGATCATAGAAACAGTTGAATAGGAGTTACCACTAGCTAGACGGTGGATGTAAGAGGGGA